CGGTGTCCCCAAACCTGCCATCCCGGTGTCCCCAACACTGCCACCGCGGTGTCCCCAACCCTGTCACGGCGGTGCCATCCCAGTGTCCCCAACACTGCCACCCTGATGCCACCCCGGTGTCCCCAACTTTGCCATCCGCAGTGACCCCAGCCTGGCCACCGCGGTGCCACCCCGATGTCCCCAACACTGCCACCGCGGTGCCACCCCGGTGTCCCAAACCCTGTCATCCCAGTGTTCCCAGTCCTGCCATGCCAGTGCCACCCGCGGTGTCCCCAACCCTGCCACCCCCTGTGTCCCCCCCATCCCCCCTGACCCCGTTCCCGTCCCAGGCGAGGATCGAACCCGTGACCCTCAGCACGCGCGGCAGCTCCAAGCGCTCCAATCCAAACTGCAGAGCCTGGACCGGCAGCGGCGGGTGAGGACGGGGAGGGGAGACCCCAAATTTGGGGGGGAGACCCCAAATTTGGGAGGGAAGACCACAAATTGGGGAGGGGAGACCCCAAATCGGGGGGGAGAGCCCAAATCGGGGAGAGGGGAACCGCAAATTGGGAAGAGGGGAACCACAAACCAGGGGGGGAGACCCCAAATCAGGGAGGGGAGACCCAAATCAGAGACGGGAACCCCCAAATTGGGGAGGGGAGGCCCCAAATCAGGGGGGGACACCCAAAGCAGGGAGGAGAACTGCAAATCCAGGAAAGGGGATCCCCAAATTTGGGAGGGGTGGCCCCAAATTAGGGAGAGGAGAGACCCCAAATCAGGGAGGGGAGACCCCAAATCGGGGAGAGGGGAACCCCAAATTGGGGAGAGGGGAACCGCAAAGCAGAGGGGGAGATCCCAAAACACGAGGGGAGACCCCAAATCGGGGAGAGGGGAGACCCAAATCGGGGGAGAGACCCCCAAATTGGGGAGAGGGGAACTGCAAACCAGGGTGAGGAGACCCCAAATCAGAGAGAGATCCCCAAATATTGGGGAGGGGAGGTTCCAAATCAGGGAGGAGACCCCAAAGCAGAGACGGGAACCCCCAAATTGGGGAGGGGAGGCCCCAAATCAGGGAGGGGAGGCCCCAAATCAAGGAGAGGAAGCCCCAAATCAGAGAGGGGAGGCCCCAAATCTGGGGGGGGAGACCCCCAAATTGGGGAGGGGAGACCCAAATCAGGGAGGGGAGACCCCAAATCAGGAGAGGAACGCCCAAATCAGGGAGGGGAAGCCCCAAATCAGGCAGGAGACCCCAAATCAGAGACGGGAACCCCCAAATTGGGGAGAAGAAGCCCCAATTCAGGGGGAGACCCCAAATCAGGAGAGGAAGCCCCAAATCGGACAGGGGACGTCCCAAATCAGGGAGGGGGAGACCCCCAAAATGGGGGGGGAGACCCCCAAATTGGGAAGGGGAGGCCCCAAATTGGGGAGGAGAAGCCCCAAATCGGGGAGGAGAGGCCCCAAATCAGGCAGGAGACCCCAAAGCAGAGACGGGAACCCCCAAACTGGGGATGGGAGGCCCCAAATTGGGGAGGAGAAGCCCCAAATCGGGGAGAGGGGGAACTCCAAATCAGGGAGAAGAACCGGGATCCTCCGGGTGGGGTCGCGACCCCCCAATCTCCCCTCTGACCCCCCGATTTCCCCCCCGAACCCCCCAATATTTCCCCGCAGGAGGTTCTGGCGCAGCTGCAGCAGCTTTTGGGGCGCAGCGAGACCCTCGGGGAGCTGCTGCAGGAGGAGTTGGGGCGCTGGAGGGAGCGACAGCGGCGACATTGCCTGGGCGGGCCCGGYGACAGCGACCTGCGCCCGCTGGAGACCTGGTACGGCCCGGGGGGATCCGCTGGGGGTTTGGGGTTTTTTG